ATAAAACTGGCCCTGTCAGGTTGGCTGGATGGCAAGCGTCAATGCTGTGGACACGATTTGGGTCTGGGATTGAAATCTCAAACATAACTAATACTCTGCAGTCATACATTTATACTCTTTATAGCATTGTGTACAGTGTATGTAACATGGTGTGTAACTCACCCATTGAAAAGTTAGAGTCCTTGGTTTTCACTGTAATCAGTGTGTGCAGCTACCACCATGGTCCATTTTCCAGCCGTCCTCGGCGAGTCTGGGAATGTGTACGTTACTGGTGGTGGGATAATCTGGAAAAGGGTAGCGGTATTGGTCACACAGCATGAAGGTAGTCAGTGTCACTGAACTATACGTGTGGAAATTGTTGAGTCGGAAAAAAAATGCACGGAGGGACAGCAGATTGGAACTGGCTGAAGAAGGAATCTGTGAACTAAAGGGTAAGAAAACTACGGCATCTCGTGAGCAATGAGAAGAAAAGATGAAGAAACTTGAACAGAGCCTAATAGGATTGTAAGATACCACGTAGCAAACCACATACGCACACTAGGAGTCCCAGAAGAGGAAGAGGAGAGAGAGGAAGGGCCAGAAAGAGTTTGGTTTTAGTTTTAAGAAATTACAGCAGAAGTCATTCTAGATGTGATGAAAGATACGAATCTACAAATCCAAGGGTCTCAGTGAACTCTTGAGTGGGATAAACCCAGAGAGCCACATCAAGACACACGGCCTGACTTTTACGCAGATAACACATGCCTTCCATGTTTATTTGCCAGCTGCTCCCTCCCCCTGGAGTTATTTTTGTAAGACCTGCTATGTTGATTTTTTTTCCCCCCACATTTTGCTGTGCAGAAATTAACGTGTTTTCAGAAATACCTCCTGAGGGGAGGGAGCAGTTGACAAACATAGAATACATGTGTTATTTGTGTAAAATTCTGGTGCATAAACTTGAGAGAAATGAATGTTACATACAGGGGATCCTTAACAAAGTGCCATTGGTTCCTCAAAAATCTTGGAGCCACAGGGCAAAATTGTCCTTCAGAATGAGGATGAAAGCAAGATATTCCCAGATAGATGATTTTGTGACAGCTATACCTTCCCCAGGGAGCTCTGGTAGCAAGTGGCTAAGGCACTTGACTGCTAACCAGAAGGTTGGCGGTTCAAACCCACCAGCCACACTCCTCGGAAGGAAGATGGGGCAACCTACTTCCGTAGTGATACTGCCTTGGAAACCCAAGGAAGGGTCACTATGAGTCGGGTCCGACTCGACGGCACATAACAACAACAACAACGCATACCTTCCCCATAAGAAACAGTAAAGGGTTTGTTCACATAGAACTGGAAGGACACTAGACTATTACTTGCAGTTGGACATAGAGAAGAAAGACCTCTGGTTAAAGTAATATGGGCAAATATAGGAGCCAGTTTTACTGTATGTTTGTTTTGTAACTCTAGTGATTATGTCCTGCCTGATTTAGAGAGACAAATCCATAACATGCAATTTTAAATTTATGTTAACTCACTGATGTTGAGTTGGATCCAACTCATAGCGACCCCTCCTTGGGTTTCTGAGGCGGTATCACTATGGAAGTAGGTTGCCCAGCCTTCCTTCCGAGGAATGGCTGGCCCATAATGTATAAAGATGTGATTTATGATAGCAGTGTAAGAATAGTTTGTTTTCATACGTCAGTGAAGTTAAATTGGAATCCAACTAGTTTGTTATCATGTTAGCATGTTAAATTCAATCTCTGCAGGCCATGGGGTCACTGTGAGTATATCAGTGAAGTGAAGTTGGAATCAAACCAGTTTGTTATGAAGTTAGGATGTTAAATTCAATCTCCATGGTCTCTGGGTTGCTGTGAATGGGAACCCGACTCGGTGGCACCTAACAACAGAAACCAATTAGACCCAACAGACATGCACAGAATGCTCCTCCCACCATCGGCACAATGTCCATAGCTGCCTAGTGCCCATGACCCTTTGCCACGTTAGGCCATGGGCTCAGTCAAGCATTAGATCTCAGCAAACTTCAGAACACTCACACACATACCAGCTATCATTCTGACCACAAGGGAATAAAACCAGAAACCGGAAACAGACAACCTGGAGGTACACAAATACGTAGAATTGGACACATTGTTCAGTAACCAGCGGGTCAAAGGG